AAAAAGATTAACTGAGCTGACGATGTTTGATCTACAGTATTTTCATAGAAGATATCTGCTATTACAGTGATAGTGTTGGCTTAGTACTTTTAATTTGCATATGTCTCATTGATCACAATTCCCTTATTTTTATCAACTTCTTTATGGGTCTAATTTTGTTTCTAGTAGTTGTTTCTAGTTCTCACAGATAGTATCTGAGTTAGAATTAAATCATTATTATAATAACTAATTGCCAGGGCTATTGCCTTTAAACAGGATTTCTGTGGGGTCTTAAAATATCTTAGATTCCCAAATCTAAATTTTAGGCCTTAAAAGTCTTAAATTTACTGAAATATTGTGTTGTAGGTCTTAAATCTTTTTAAATAAGTCTTCATTTTCCTTTGTGCATGTTCTGCTACCCAATCTGATTAAAACTCATACAATCACCAAAAATTCATTTGAACAAAACTTTTCATTCAGAAAGGTCATTTTCACTCTTTATCATAATGGTTTAATTACTTATAGCAACATTTGTTTAAACGTGCTCCATGTATTTACTGCTGAGGACAACGACCTGTACAGATTGTTGTGCATAAATTTAGTTTTTTATAGTTTTTAAAACATTTGTTCTTTTTATTATTTTATTATTAAATGTAATTATATACATTTTTATATAATTATATATAGGGCAAATAAAACTCTTTTCCATCTGGGGTATTTTAAAAATTCCTTAGCCTTTTAGCCCTTTATAAGTAAAAAAAATTAACCCTGGTTTAAAGTATGTCAGAAAACGTGGATGTCCTAATTTTAAATATGCTGGATACAATGGACACAAAAAAAATGAATTATTATAAAACATTGTACAGTTTTCTAAACTTGATGATGTTGCTGTGGGACGAAGTGAGGCAAAACAAACAAATTATAGTGGAACAATACCGTTCTGCACTCAATACGCGCACTGACTACAACTGGCCAACAAACTAGTTTAAAAATGTATTTTGCTGCTTAAGAAATGGATTACAGCATGCTGATGATATGCAAACATTTAAGTGTAAAGTTTGTCAGTATTGATCATATTCTTCACGTACCAGCAGGCGCTGCCATTGGAATCTTTTTGCTAGAGACTTTTTTTAGAAAATGAATTTTTAGATCCTAAAAATAGTGTAAAGTCCCGTGCACACGAGACGTTTTTTTGCTCGCGTTTGTCTACATATAAGGCCTTGTGACTATAGAAAGGGCGTCAATTTGACCGTGCACACTACGCACAAAACGCCAGGCGTAAAACCGTAATTTTTAAAGAAATGCCTCATGCTTGTTTTTTTATTTTATTTGATGCGCCGCGTTAAAACCTTCTTCACTAATCAGGTTGGCACTTTTGTTCAAATGCACGGAGCTGCTGAAGTTACAGTAAACAGCACATGGAGGTGCTCTAAACTGTCAATGCGAGCACACATTAAAGAAGATGCCAAGAGGCGATATCAACGTGGAGCTTCTTATTGCTCTGTGAACAATAATCATTTCTTCATCCCTAGAGGTGGAGCTGCTACTTGAACCATCCATGCTTGTTTGAGTCACCAGTAACTTTAACAACAATCGTGTGAACTTTCTCTCTTCTTCTTCTTCTGTGTTTCAAGCGGGTGTCGGAAGCTTAAAGTTGTGTAGCGCCATCTAACGTCAATGAGTGATATTGCATACTCTTCTGCTTGATGCTAGTGAAAATAGCTTGGGTTTGAATGCGGAAAAACATCTCGTAAAAGCGTCCTGGTGTGTAGGAGCCTTTATGCTGCTTAGACATGGGATGATAACCGTTTGCAAGGTTTGCAAACTGCCAATATTTTCTGCTGTACAGTCCCTACTGTATATGTAAGGATTTTTATGTTCTGTTATACGTTTTTTAGGACAACAGTATCTCCAGCAGAAAAGATCTCCAAAGATGAAATTTTAAATCGTAAAGAAATCTGTGTTTATGAAACAAAAGAACACAGCAGAAGTCAATAATTCATTTGAATTATTCAGCCTGACATGTTTACTGCTCCAAAATACTTTCAAAGTTTCTCAAAAGAAAATATATTGTTTTCAAAGGGAAAAAATGTGTTTGTTTTTTTATCCAGAGATTTTAAGGAATATATTTTAGAGCAGTAATCAAAATACAATGAAACCGTGATATTTTTTATATCGTGATATAAACCGTGACAAGGTTATCATATTGTCAAAATCTTATAAAGGCCATTATAAAGGGTCTTATAAAGGGTCATTTTCTAATTTTATTATTTTTCTTTGTATGTATAGTCATGAACACACTAGTTTGTAGAGTAGTGTGGTCGTTTTCTGCTATTTATTACTCATGGTCAATTCTCCAAAAGGCAACTGAATTGAAAGTTCTAAAACAATAGCATGAGATCTGGGGTCCGTTCTTAGTACGTGGATTACTCAATTAGCTGGATTTGGTTATTTTTGGCTTTGGTTTTGGTTATCAATGATTGTTTCAATCTTTAAAACTCATCTGAGACTTGTCATGGCAACAGTTCTGGTAGCTTAAACCTACTTGGGATCAGAAAAAATATATACTAATAAAACTTATGCAATCTGCTCTCCAAAATTAAAGTAGAAAGACTGCCACCTAAGGGTTCAAATAGATTTTTTTTAAATATAATCTTTGTAGATACAAACGTGTACATGTACAATGTTTGACTTTTTTTTAAAAAGGGGAAATAATTTATGCAGTCATGCACGTGTTTTGACCACTAATATGCCGGTGATTGACACCCTTACCGATATGAAAATGCTTTTTTTCATACAAAATTAATTTATACAGTTATTCTTTGCGCTGATTAAAAAAAATAAGTAGGCATAGGCTACTATAATTAATAATATTTTCTCTAAATGTAGACCTAAATACATTGATATGCATTGAAATACATGATGAATACTCTTGACTCATAAAAGCCTGCAGCTTACAACAAATGTGTAAAGTTATTACGTGTCATGTTTAACAAACCATTTACTGCTAATTTTATGTAATTTGGCTCACTTGGATAATTGAATATTAATCAGATGATGTCATTACGCTGCTGTGCCATCAGCCAATCGTTACTTTGCTGATCATGATTTTGAGGATCGATAGATCAGTCCTTCACAACACACGCAGCAATCTCAGATCAGTTCATACAGACATTTTAACCTGATTCACAAACTTGTTTACAGAACCAAATTAGCCAGAGATCAGTTATCAAGATTAAAAGATCCAGGATCTGCCAAATTATCTAAGATTATTTAAGTGCGGTACGAAGAACAGACCCCAGGTCACCGCTACGAATGACAATTTTTGTATGTCACTGTTTGTCCATGTACTCCTGTTATCCTGAGAGCTGATGCTGAGTATTCTTAGGCATTTTCTTACTTGAAATTGTTAACCCTGGGTCATTCTAACCCTAGTTAATCAATCCTGGGTTGTTTGTAGTCACCATCCACACTGCTCATGCTATACCTGGGTGTTAATTACCAGACGTTTCATATTCGCAAATCCCCGGGTTAAAATTATTATTTGTATATTTCCGTTGTCACTGTCCCTGATTGGACAAACATAAGGTCACCTTTTTAGATGCCATTTCTGCATCTTGTCGGGTATATAAAATGTAATAACGTAGGTCTTCAACTAAGTATCAGGAACTTGCACAAAGCCAAGAAAACAAAGACAAGTACAAGTGAAGTTTGTTTATAAACTTATTGCACGTGCTTATGATTGCTTGCGGTTGATCTCGCATTATTTAATTTAGGATTCACCAATCAGACGATTCCTAAACCACTATAAATACCCTAAATTCCATATCACAGCCATCTTCGTTTAGAAAAATCCCCCCTTCCACCCCTACTCCTTCTCCTTTTCTAGGTCGGTGGCACAAAAGCCCAGAGGTTAGCACTGTTGCCTCATAGCAAGAAGGTTACTAGTCGTTACCAAGCCAGCTGATGTTTCTGTGCAGAGTTTACATGTTCTCCCGGTGCTCACGTGGGTTTCTTCCAGGTTCCCCGGTTTCCTTCCACTGTCAAAAAACATGCAACTTAAGTTAATTGACTAATCCAAATCGGCACCATAGACATGCTCTTAGTAAGTAGTTATCTCTTAAAAGCAATCACTTTCTGTTTATTAGCTACTACAGCAGACGAGTTCTCAAGATCTACCCGAGCTCAAACTTCCCTTTCGCCTTTCAAATGGGAGAGAGCCTCAGGCTCTAGGATCATGAAGTGTAAGCACTTGAAATGAATGAAAACAAGTTGCAAAGTATGTCATCTTGCCATCTCCTCATCACTCCAGTTTACAGCAAACATGACATTAATCATTTGCATATGTTCATTCATTAATTTTCCTTCGGCTTAGTCCCTTTATTCGTTAGGGGTCACCACAGCGGAATGAACAACCAACTTATCCAGCATTTATTTTAAACAGTGGATGCCCCTCCAGCGGCAACCCAGTACTGGGAAACATTTGTTATATAAGTTATATACAAGAATGCAAACTCACAAAAATAAGCGTAATTTATGCGTACTTGCCATGAACATGCAGGAATTGTCTCAATCGGGTCTTCCAAGCAAGTTACAAATGTTTAAATCCAGTGGAAAATGCACAACACACAGCATGAGTAATCCAAAGTGAGTGCATTTGATCATTTACATTTAAAGCCACAGGCACAAAAACAGCTTGGTTTTCCTGACCCCCAAAATTAAATCTTCTGTAAGGTATATGATCTGATTTTGAGCTAAAACCTCAGACACATTTTGGGAAGACTTATTTTACATCTTGTAAAAAAGGTTTTATAATAGGAATCCTTTAAAGGGATTGTTGACGCAGAAATCAAAATAGCCTTACTATTTAATGTCCCTCATGTGGTTTTAAATCTTTACGAGTTTCTTGGTCCTGTTAAACACAAAAGAAGATCTTATGGAAAAAATGCTGGCTTTCTTTGTGTTCCAGAAGAAAGGAAATGTTTAAAACCACATGACAGAGAGTAAATGGTAAGGTCATTTTTATTTGTGGGTGAAACATCCATTTCATGCTTGTCGCTTTGTGGCTTCATTCTAAAAGTTCATTTGTTTTTTTTTAAAGACCTGATGGTGCTGAAAGAAGAGACCCATCAATGGAATGAAATGGAAGACAAACATCAAGACATATTAACTGATGAAAAACCCACACTGACTAAAAAGACTTCATCACACGGAAGACCTCGGAAATCCAAATCTTTGTGTAATTTTAGCAGTAACCAGTGTAGAAAGAGTTTCAGTCAAAAGCCAAAGCTTGATGTTCACAATAGGGAGAAACTTTACACCTGCAAACAGTGTGGAAAGAGTTTTCCTAAAATTGATGGCTTTAAAGCCCACATGAGAATTCACATTGGAGAGAGGCCGTACAAATGCCAACAGTGTGGAAAGAGTTTTACGCAAAATAGCAACCTTGAAGTTCACATGAGAACTCACAATGAAGGAAGAATTTTTACTTGCAGACAGTGTGGGAAAGGTTTTGCTAAAAAACACAACCTTAACATCCACATGAGGATTCACGCTGGAGAGAAACCTTACACATGCACAGAATGTGGTCAAAGTTTCCCATATAAAACCACATTCAATAGCCACATGAGGATTCACACTGGAGAGAAACCTTACAGATGCACAGAGTGTGGTAAAAGCTTCACACATAAAAGCACATTCAATAACCACAGGAGAATTCACACTGGAGAGAAACCTTACAGATGCACAGAGTGTGGTAAAAGTTTCACACATAAAAACACACTCGATAACCATAAGAGAACTCACACTGGAGAGAAACCTTACACATGCACCGAGTGTGGTAAACGTTTCCCATATAAAAGCACACTCAATAACCATATGAGAACTCACACTGGAGAGAAGCCGTTTGCATGTGCTCAGTGTGGAAAGAGATTCAGAGCCAAAGCTAGCCTCATGAATCACACGAATCGTCACACTGGAACCATAGTGTTCACATGTGATCAGTGTGGAAAGAGTCTCACACACAAAGACTCCATTAAGAACCATATGAAGATTCACTCAGGAGAGCGTTTTAGATGCAGTGAGTGTGGAAAGGGTTTTAATTGTAAAAGAAGCCTCAGTACTCACATGAAGCTTCACAATGGAGAGCAGAGTCCTCAAAATTGAGGCCTTGTCCACAGAAACACAGGTATATTCAAAACGGCAGCTTGTTCATATAGTTTGGCTGTTCAATGACATGAAGTTTATTTATAAACTACTTTTGAGAGGATGACATGCTATGATTGTCCACAGCTGGTCCTGCATTAGCTAATATGATTCACCAATCCAATGATTTTTAACTCACTATAAATAACGTTCGAGGTTACAGAAGTAACCCTTCGTTCCCCGAGGAGGGGAACGGAAGTGCCATGAATGGGAGGATTCGGATCAGAAGCCGCTTATCTGGAGAGTATTGAACGGGCCAATGAATGAAATTAATTGGCAGCGTAAGCTTGCGCAGGTGTGCGACATCTGCAATTATCTCAGCATATAAGCACACCTGAGCCAGCAGACGCCATCCTTTTAAGCTGAAGAGACTTTCAAACAGCTAAGGGACAGTCATTATGGCGACGGAATATGGCACTTCCGTTCCCCTCCTCGGGGAACGAAGGGTTACTTCTGTAACCTCGAACGTTCCCCTTCGGTTGGGGAACTTCAGTGCCATGAATGGGAGAATATGGAAAGCGCCATAATGACTGCACCTTACCAACACCCCCGATGAGGAGATAGTCAAGCAAGCGTGACGCACCCACATCATGGGGGGCGCGGTCCTCCAACGTGTCCCTGGCCCTAATTTATCCTACTTCAACAGAAGTTTTACGGATTTAGATATATTTTTTGGGAAGTCGTGAGCATCTAGATAATTCTAGGAAATACGACAGTACGTTGGGAAGCGTGCAATCCCGATAGGGAGGACGCTGCGGAGGCCATCCGTTACCCAAGGGGGGGATAGATGGCAGAATTTACCTATGGACTAGCCCTAAAAAGGGGGAGTACGCATAGCAAAGAGTGGTTAGCGGAGAGGGAAGACACGGGTCCGCCCAGGGGGGGGACTTAACCGTGGCGGAATAAGCATATGGGATCGCCTAGTGGGGATCACGCATAGCAGGCACCTATACCCAAAACGCGGGCTGACCAGCGGGCAGACCTACAACGTAGTGGGCCAGCAAGTGACTCCTCCGCTGAGTCAGTGCTGGGGGCCACGGAGGAATCTGCAGGGCTCACCTGACGGGGAACTTTACTGACAGATAAAAAAGGCGCACGTACCTCCGTGTTAGGGAGAATGGCGCAGCAAGCGTGTTTCAACACCCTACCGAGTTGTCTCCTCAATCACCAAAGGGTTACCTAATACCCTTGAGGAAACCGGCTCCACTCGCAGATTGTAAAACCTTGCAAATGTGTTGGGTGTCGCCCAGCCCGCAGCTCTACAGATGTCTGTTAGAGAGGCGCCGCGTGCACGCGCCCAAGAGGATGCAACGCTCCGAGTGGAGTGTGCACGTACTCCCGGGGGACACGGCTGACCTCGACTCGAATAAGCGAGTGAAATGGCATCCACAATCCAGTGGGATAATCTTTGTTTCGATACGGCACTTCCCTGCTGCCGACCGCCATAACAGACAAAGAGCTGCTCAGATGATCTAAAATTCTGAGTACGGTCCACATAAATGCGCAGAGCGCGAACTGGACAAAGTAAAGAAAGGGCTGGGTCTGCCTCCTCCGGGGGCAGCGCTTGCAGGTTCACTACCTGATCTCTAAAGGGGGTGGTAGGAACCTTGGGCACATAACCGGGGCGGGGTCTCAGGATAACGTGAGAGTAATCCGGCCCGAATTCCAGGCACGAGTCACTGACCGAAAATGCCTCCAGGTCCCCGACCCTCTTGATGGAGGCCAACGCAACCAGCAGAGCTGTCTTCAGGGACAGAAATCTTAGAGATACTGATTCGAGTGGCTCAAAGGGATCGGATCGCAGACTCGTGAGAACGAGGGCGAGATCCCAAGAGGGCATGAGAGGGGGGCGAGATGGATTAATTCGCCTAGCACCCCTAAGGAACTGGATGACCAGGTTATGCTTTCCCACGGTGCCGCCAGCTACCGCGCTATGATAAGCGGAGATGGCGGCCACGTAAACCTTGAGAGTGGAGGGCGACAGCCTGCTGTCCAACTTCTCTTGAAGGAAAGAGAGCACAACACTAATCTGGCAATTTCGGGGGTCTTCTCTGCGAGAGACGCACCATTCAGTGAATAGACTCCACTTCAGGGCGTAGGCGCGCCTCGTGGATGGGGCTCTAGCCTGAGTGATGGTATTAACCACCGCAGTCGGTAGGTTACCTAAGTCTTCCTCGCGTCTAGGGACCACACGTGGAGGTTCCAAAGATCGGGGCGAGGGTGCCAGATGGTGCCCTGTCCCTGAGAGAGTAGGTCCTCTCTCAAAGGGATCCGCCAGGGGAGGGCCGTCGCGAGGAGTGAGAGCTCTGATATCCAGGTCCAGTTGGGCCAAAGGGGCGCAACTAGCAGAACCTGTTCCTCGTCCTCCCTGACCTTGCACAGAAACTGCGCGAGCAGGCTCACTGGGGGAAACGCATACTTGCGCATGCCCCGAGGCCAGCTGTGGGCCAGTGCATCCGTGCCGAGAGAGCCCTCGGTCAGGGAAAAAAACAACTGGCAGTGAGCGTTCTCGGGGGAAGCAAACAGATCGATCTGGGCCTCCCCGAATCGCGCCCATATCAGCTGAACAGACTCGGGGTGGAGTCTCCATTCTCCAGGGCGTAACAGCTGTCGTGAGAGCGCATCGGCTGCACGATTGAGCGTGCCTGGGACGTGAATGGCGCGCAGCGATTTCAGCCGCGGGTGACTCCAGAGGAGCAGACGGCGGGCGAGCTGAGACATGCGGCGAGAGCGCATACCCCCCATGCGGTTGATATACGCCGCCGCCGCCGTACTGTCCGTCCTGACCAGCACGTGTTGCCGCTCCAGCACCGGTAAAAAGCGGTGGAGAGCGAGGAACACTGCCAACAGCTCTAGGCGATTGATATGCCAATGCAGCTGGGCACCCTTCCAGAGGCCCGCAGCCGCATGCCCGCGACACACGGCCCCCCAACCCGTGTTGGAAGCGTCTGTTGAAACAACAACATGGCTGGACGCCTGTCCTAGAGGCACACCGGCCTGTAGGAACGAGGGGTCGTTCCAAGGGCTGAGGGCGCGGCGACACAGCGCAGTAACCGAGACCCGGTGTGTGCCCGCGTGCCATGCGCGTCTGGGGACCCGATCGTGAAGCCAGTGCTGAAGTGGTCTCATATGGAGCAACCCGAGCGGCGTGACGGCGGCTGCGGATGCCATATGCCCCAGGAGCCTCTGAAAGAACTTCAGTGGGACCACTAGTTTGCTGTCGAGCTCCCTCAGACAGTTCAGCAACAGGCGAGCGCGTTCCTCGGAGAGGTGCGCTACCATGGTGATCGAGTCCAGCTCCATCCCGAGAAAAGAAATCCTCTGCACGGGGGCGAGTTGCTCTTTTCTCGGTTGACCTGAAGCCCCAGTAGGCGGAGATGCCGAAGCACCTCGTCCCTGTGCATAATCAATTGCTCCCGCGAGTGGGCTAAATCAGCCAGTCGTCGAGATAACCGAGTATGCGAATGCCCGCGAGCCGAAGGGGCGCTAGGGCACCCTCCGCGAGTTTGGTGAAGACCCGCGGAGACAGAGAGAGCCCGAAGGGGAGGACCTTGTACTGCCACGCTCGACCCTCGAACGCAAACCGCAGAAATTGGCGGTGGCGTGGAAGAATGGAGACATGGAAATACGCGTCCTTCAGGTCTATGGCTGCAAACCAATCCCGAGGACGAACGCATTGGAGAATGCGCCTCTGCGTGAGCATTCTGAACGGCAGCTTGTGCAGACAGCGGTTCAAAACGCGCAGATCTAGGATTGGCCGTGACCCACCGCTCTTTTTGGGTACGATGAAGTATGGGCTGTAAAACCCACTCTCCATCTCGGCTGGAGGAACCGGCTCGATTGCACCCTTCGCCAGGAGGGCAGCAATCTCCTCTCGCAAGACAGGGGCGGACAGGGGGTTGACCCTGGAGAAATACACGCCCGTAAACTTGGGGGGCCGTTTCGCGAACTGAATCGCGTAACCGAGTCTGATTGTGCGTATGAGCCACCGCGAGGGGCTGGCCCGCGCTAACCAGGCAGGCAGAGCCCTCGCTAATGGAGTCATCGCTACAATCGCTGACGTACCAGCGGTGGGGCAGCGCGGAGTGGGTGTGCTGATCCGGGAAGCACGAGGGTCCCGCGGAAAAGCTGGAGGAGAGCGATTCGCTCTGGCTCCGCACCCTGACTCCGGAGAGGGGGCTGGAGGGCTGAGGGAAGGGAGACCGTCCCCCCAGCGCTCGTGAGCCACTGGCGAAGCACGTAGAGTCTGCGAGCCGGAAGGCAGCGCGTCCCGGACTGGCAGAACTCGTGCAGTCACATCCGGGGAAGGGAAAAAGTGCTCTTTTACTGATGTTTTGGTGGCACTGAAAAGTACCGTTGTTATCGGGGCCCCGCCCTCCAGCGGGGAAAGAGCAAGTTTCCTCTTCTCCGGATGGCCTGTCTCAGGGACGCTTCGTGGTCCGTTTACCGGACTTAACGGCGCCCTGGGCAGGAGGGGCTGCCTGCTTTCGAGGTGAACGCCGCGCCCGCTTGGCCGGAGGCGCAGGCGGGGGCGGGGCAGCACTCGTTGGCGGGCGCCCTCGGCGAGGAACAGCGCAGGTGGATGGCTCGGCGGGCGGAGCGGGCTTACGGCCACGCCGATAGATGACATTGCCCATCGCATCCGACTGCTCTTTCACCGCCTTGAATTCCTGGGTGAATTCACCGACGATGTCGCCGAACAGGCCAGCCTGGGATATGGGCGAGTCAAGAAAGCGAACTTTGTCAACGTCGCGCATATCGGCCAGGTTTAGCCAGAGGTGGCGTTCCTGAACCACAAGTGTGGACATCGTCCTCCCCAGCGCACACGCGGCGGACTTAGTAGTCCGAAGAGCATAGTCGGTCGCGGTGCGCAGCTCATGTAATAAGCTTGGGTTGGACCCGCCCTCGTGCAGCTCGGCCAGCGCCTGCGCTTGGTAGCGCTGGTAGGTGGCCATCGCGTGCAAAGCAGAAGCAGCCTGGCCCGCAGCCTTATAAGCTCTGGCTCCGAGGGAGGCAGACAACCTACAGGCTTTGGACGGGAGGCGGGGCAAACCCCGCCACGTAGAGGCGCCGCGCGGACAAAGATTGACCGCGATAGCGCGCTCCACTGACGGGATCGCCTCATACCCCCTGGCAGCTCCA